TACTATTTTTTGTAAGTCCTTGAAAAGTGGGCAGGTACCAAAGGATTGGAAGTTGCCTAATGTTACTCCTCTTTTCAGAGGAGGGTTACTAGAATGGTGTCTGGGATGGAGGGGTTGTCATATGAAACTGTTTTCTCTTAAAAAAAAAAAGAGTTAGAGGGGGATCTGATTGAGGTGTTAAGATTGAAAAGGAATTGATAATGTCAATGTATCATTTTTGTTCATACTTAACGGCAAAAATAGTAGGACTTGGAGACACAAATATAAATTTTGGCAAGGTAGGAGTCATTTTCAGATAAGACTGTTTTATTTTCTAACAGGGTGGTTGACCTATGGAATGGATTGCCTTTGGATGTTGTGGAAGCAGTAGATTTAAGTGAGTTTAAGAGAAAGCTTGATAAGTATATGAATGATAATGGCTGGCTTTAAGATTTTTTTAAAATTATTAATAATTTTAGTTTAGTTTCGAGGATGTGACAGCCGAGATGGATCAATAGGTCCCATGTTGTTCCAAAATGTTATGTTATATTAAATACGATGATTATCTTAGACTTGTGATAACCCATAGAGGGAGCATAACGAAATATTTTATACTGAAAGAGTTGCTGAAAAACTTATTGTATTCATTTTCAGCATTTAGTTAGAGATTTCCTTAGTTTCCAGTATCACTATATGTAATATTAACCTTTTTTCTGTGTTACTTATGTTATGCAGTGCTTTGCATTTGAAAAATAAATGAGGGTTTTTAAACAGACCCTGTCAAACAGTCCATGAGGCTGTTAGCACTTTTTTCCTCAGTTATAGTTACTCTGACAAAATTACAGTCACCTTGACCTGATCCCTGAAATATGGGGTAGAAAATGTTCATAAAGTAGTTTGACAAGGTGACACAACTATGTCATAGTTAAAGTTCTTGAAATACATTTTAAAAGTGTTAATGAGCACATCTTATATTTTAAATTGCTGAAGTATCATTACATTTTTATTGAATAGTTTAAATAAAATATTTATAATGAACCATACAATACAATGGACAAAAATATAGTTCATGCATGTCAGGTCATAAACCCAGTGAATGGTGATCAAGAGACTAGTCAAAGTATTTTGTGTATGCATAAAATTGGGGTCACTGGAGGTCAAAATAACTTTTTTTTTTGCAATGAAAGAAAAATCTGCAAAAAAATAGGACCAAAGATTATTTTCAATAAATCTAATAATACTGTATTGCTCTTATTCTTTCTAAATCACTCCTGTGACATGTAAAAATAGTGGATATCATGTCATTCTTTTGATGGAATTGTAAAAAGATCTCATGAAACATTGTCTAAAGGCTCTCATATATGCGATTGCAATGGTGCCTGGCAAACAGAAGCACTCGGTACAGTTGTTGTATTTTAAACCTTTGACTGTTGCTGCTTTAAATGCATGTGGAATTTTTGAGAGCTGTATACTGCAGACTGTACCCTATATGGCAAATCGGCAGTTAATGGGTTAAAAAAAAAAGAATATACTGGAAATTTTTGGCTTGTTTTGTTTGTTTTCAATTTCATGCAAAGCTACATGAGGGCTATTTGCACTAGCCATCCTTAATTTAGTAGCGAAAGACTAGAGGGAAGGCAGCTAATCATCATCACTCACTGACAACTCTTGGGCTACTCTTTTACAAATGAATAGTGGGATTAACTATCACATTATAATGACCCAACAGCTGAAAGGGCAAGCATGTTTGGTGGGACAGGGAATCAAACCCATGACCCTCAGATTGTGAGTCAAGCACCCTAACCATTTGGCCATGCTGGGTTAGGAAATTTTTGGATGAACAAAAAGAGGAGGGCTCTTTCAGCCAAGAAAGAAACTCTGAATAGGAAAAAAAACTTGATACAATGAAATTTTTGTCGCCAGCCAAGGAGAGAGAGGAGAGGAAAGGTCATCTACTGGATTAGGATTTTTAGGTAATAAAATGATAAAGAAAAAATATTTTTCATTTTTAAATATTTAAACAGAATAACTGGTGGGAGTTCACAGCAGATTTATGTGCAGTTTAAATGCTGTATTGTTTGTTAGTTGAATTTCAAACAAAGCTACACATAGGCTACCTGCACTACTCATCCCAAATATTGAAGTGATAGACTAGAGGAAGGTAACACCACCCTTTTAATAACAAATAGTGGGATTTACAGTGCATTATAATGTCCCCATGGCTGAAAGGGCATGTATATTTAGTAACAGGATTCAAACCTATAATCCCCAGATTGCACTCTAATCACCAGGCCATGCCAAACCCCAAACTGCTGTAGAACGTACAATGGAAAAAAAAGAAGAGCTTTTAAAAGTTTCTACCACACCAAACAATGTCCATGTCAGAATTTTCAAGTAACTTTAAACTTTGCTTTATCATTTCATTTGGATTATCATAAGTTCCTACAGTATCCACCAGAAACAAATACTCATTGATTGTTATTTTCCAGGAGTTAGAGTTGTTATACTTTAGATCTATAACTACAACACATATACACGCAACTCCATCAGCATACATCATTATTTATATACATGACATAGTATAAAGACACATTTTATATTTACTACATATCTTAACATCTACTCAATATCCACAGTAAATGTGTAAAAAGAAACAAATTCCATAAAAAGTAATGTGATTATATTTACATTCAGTCGTCTGTTGTATGGTACTTCAGCTGTTAAAGGTTTAATCAAACACACAGTTACCTGACCTTCTGGAAGGATAGGTGTAGCAATATGTTATAAATGGGAAAAATCAGTGTTGAGCTGAACAAAACCAAACACTTTATTAATTAAACATAAACACAAGGCAGATGAATGGCTGATCACCATGTAATAAATTAAGAGTAGATAAACTGCATTAAAATGCAAAGTAAAGAAAGAAAACTGTATTTTGATAACATGGAAATCAAAACAAATTTTATATGAAACTAAATTGAGAAAGAATATGCATGATCAGTAGGCTAAAACTGTTAAACATTGAGACAGGGACAAAACTCCATCAGCTGGTCCTAGTTCTTTTAAGTCAGAAACTAGACTGGATGAAAACGGCAAATTGCTCTCACATTCCACACACTCCCCACGACTAACCAATCAGAAAAATTGGATCACAAGTAACTGAATATATCTCTGTTTCATGTGACAGCCATATAGCATTCCCACATACACCAAATAAGATAGGACGTGATAGAACTATTCCATAAAATGCAAGAAAATTTTCATGACCGGAGCTTCAATATGTAATACCTAGGGTTTAAATAGGGCAAAGGAATTTGACCAAATTTAGAACATTACAAGGTATAGCTTTAGAGATAACTTAAACGTTTGCATTATGAAATATGCATTATAGGAGTGTGAAATATGTGGTATTTTCATATCACAGCCCCCCTCTCCCAGTCTTATCTTAGGCTTATCCTCAAGTTAACTTTAAAGTTAGTAACAATTCAAGATTAAAATGAAATTGGGTAAAATCAGTTGCATCAGAATCACAATCTCTGTTTACATTAGATGCAGTCAGAATATAATTTTATGGGATGCACAACATAATGAATAATGAAATAAACCATGCATACACAATTCTTACAGGTACAACACAAAAGAAGTATTCTTTCAAAAATGCACATCCAGGAAGGAAAATCTGTTATTTTATGTAACAATGACACTTTGATCAGGATTGATATGATATTCTCTAATCTGCTTGCCATAGTAGAGAAGGCAGGCTATAACTTCGCTAGGGGTGATGTATAAACAGCTACAGCCATCAGTGGTAACTCTTCCCATTTTCACTAATGACTTACTCTAAAATAAACTTGTTTTTCTAAAATTATGCCAAAAGATTTTTAAAATATCAGAAGAAGAAACAGTATAAGAATTATTCATAAAACAATTTACTTACATCTTCTTCATGGTTAAAGAATGGTAAACTGATAGATGCTTCTTTAGAAAATGGCACATAGGTGACAAATGCCTTAAGAGTACCTTCAACATTCTCACCATAAATATGCCTAGAAAATGAATTAAAATTCTCTCTCAATTAATCTGATCTTTGAAGCATTTTTGTAAAAAGAAAGTAACTTGTGATATTGCTACTTGTAAAAAATTATCAGACAAGTCTATATATAATGAACTCAGAAGTATGTATGTAATAATTTCAGAAGACTCTCCAAATGCTTTGAAGAATATCATTCCAAAACTTAATAATTTAACTGTATTATCTTACAATAAATGTAGTTATATCACAAACAACAGGGTACCCTCAATAGCTGTGGCTATAATTAGATCTCATATTGGTTAAGAGATGGAGCTATGAGCTAAAAGTTTGTACTTGGAAAAAAAACTCAGAACCATTCTATGAACTGCTATGCTGTAGCTAAAAATTATTAAATTTATTAAATGCTTATTTTACATCTAATGCTATAAATGAATGTACCTAATCTAATGAGAAAAAATATTCCAGTAAAAAATTATTATAATAAACAACATTTGAAAGAGTTTTAACCTTTCAGGTATCTCAATTATCCAAAATAAAGTTACTCATACCTAATATCTATTCATAAAAAATTAACTGGTGAGAAAACAATATGGCTAATTATCAATGTCAATACATACTTGGCACAAATCTTCCATGTAAAATGGTCAGCATCCGCCAGCACATATGGAGGAGGACTAACAACAATATGAAATTTTGTGGGAGCTAAAAGATGGAAATAATTAACTTGTTTGAAATTAAAATAAACTAAGCAAATTAATGTTTGTTAAAAATGTAATAAATGTACTGAATAAAAGAATTACAAATGTAAATAATACACCTATAATTAGCAGAAAAAAAAAGAAGATCAACGAAGGTTAGATAAAGGAGATGTTAACCTTTTCCTAAATAGAAAATGTAATTCCAATAGATACTTACCTCTCTCACAAATAGCCTTCTCAATTTATACTGCCCTTTACTGGTGCAAATTTTTGCTCACCACTCTTCTTGATACTCCCATTTATTTCTCATACTAACATGCAAATGACTGTACAGCAAACCTCCATTAATATGATACTACCACTATTGTAACTATCACTCCTCTCTAATCTTGCACATGTTAACCACCTCGAGATTGGTCACATCAAACCAAACTACACTGGAAGTGGGGAGGAAGGGTGGGAAATGTGAAAGGAGGTAAGTATCTATCAGAAATACATTTTCAGTTTAGGAAAATGTTAACTTCTGATACGATACCTTACCTCCTCTCATAAAAAAGCTAAAATCCCACATTGAATCAGTGTAGAGCCAGTGATGTACAAGACTATCATAGAGACATTGGAGTGAACCATCACCAACCGACCCCTAGAAGCCCGCAGGAAATAAAGGAAAGCCCGTCAAACAGAAAGACATTCCAAGATTGATATGGGGAGTGGATTTACATGGATACCATTACCTAGAAACATACTGAGTGCTGAGATACACCCCCAAACTGGGAAAAAAAGCATCCTTAAAAGTTGACATTCTGGACAAGAAGAAGGAAGAGGAACATCCATGGTAGTATTGTAACAATCTAACCACCAGTCAAAGAAAGTCTTTGAGGAAGGGGGAAGGATATGAGGGGCATCTAAGGGATCCTGAACAAGTCTCCATTGGTTTATCAAATCCCACTGAAGATGATACATGAGGTCACTTTAAGAGGAATGAGGGCTTCAAGAGAAGCCCAAGACTCCAAAAAAGAGAGAACCTCTCACACAGTAGAAGGAGGGGATGAGAAACTACATATGAGACTTTTCATAGCTTGCAACTGAACTGGAGCAAGTAGAGTCCAACCTAGGGGGGAGATGAAAAACATCCCAAGATGAATCAAAAATTTGTGTGGGTATGAGGAGAAAATTACTCCACTTTGACAAGCCAACCCACCAGAAAAGTGTCCTGGAAAAGAAATTGAGGATGTAGAACTGAGTCATCTTGTGAGTAGGCAAGAAGAAGCTATACATCCATAGAACAGTGGAAACAAAGGCCTCTGGAATAAATCATGCAGGCAAAAAACGGGATCCTGAGGAGGACGGAAGGAAACAGTATTTTGAGACAGAGGGGTAAATGAATAGAATTAGAGGACCAGACTTATTGAAACGACTTTCAGAACCCATAGATCAACTGCCAAATGTGGGCAAATTGAACTGAAAGGTATGGTCAGAGTAAGGCAAATACGGGAAAACGTAATAGAATTATTGGGGTCTGATCCCCACTAAGAGAGAGACAACACCAAATGCCATGTGTCCAAATAAGGAAAGTCAGGACGATGATAATCAAAAGCATGATCTTCCACAGTTTGTGAGGGTCAAGGCATACTGACCCCAGCATTCAAATGCTCTCCAAAAGGACTTGCATGATCCCCATTATCTAGGGAAGGAGGAAACACTAAATAATGTCCCAAGGCCTAGTCCCCTAGAAGGTCAGGGGTGGAACATAGGAAACATGAGATAAAGACAGAGCATAGTATACCTTAATAATCAAATCCACTAAATGAGAAAGAGGTTGGGTGACTTGCCCAGTCACCCAAAATAACACATGACTGAGAGGCCTATTCAGAAGGGAAGAAAAGGCTGTCCAAATCCAAAACTTTCTGATCACTGAAAACCATGATAAAACAATCATCAGTGTGTTATGATTATTGCATGAAAGTAGTCAACTCTTGTTGGACCAGAGCCATCACTTCATGGGCCAAGAATTGTGGTTCCCATTGAACATGGTCAGCAATTCTGCTGCAGTTGTAACAGGAGTTGTAGTCGTGACCACCTGAAACTACATGTGCATAACTCAGGAAATTGAAAGAGAAAATATGATATATAAAATAATTTGTAACTTTCCATAAAAGAGAATGAAAATGGTAAAGAACAACGTAACTAAAGTAGAAAAATTAAGAAACTAAAAACTTGTGGATAAGAAGACTGCCAATCAAAAAGTAGCTAACATGTGCAAGATTAGAGAGGGTGATAGTTACAATAGGGGTTGCACTTCTTCTGGTGGAGGGTTGCTGCATAGTCATTTGCGTATTAGTATGCAGAAATAAGTTGGAGTGTCAAGGCTAGTGGCAAGCAAAAATTTGCACCAATATCGGGCAGTATAAGTTGAGGATATTTTTTGTGAGGTAAGATATTGCATTGGACTTTTTATTGCTGATTTATTATAGAAACACTAGTCATTACATTACTGATATTGTAGTAAGATAGTTTGTCTTTATTTTCATAATGTAAGAGTTGTGCAATCATAATTCATATCTGTATACTATAATTCATTGTAAATAGTTTATGCCTATAACATGATCACTTCTTACATGTAATAATGCTCATAGTAGGTGTTCATTCCATAACCATAACATGTAAGATGATTAAAAAAGTTTAACATTTTAAACAGGGATTTGGGGTAATTATTTGACTTCCAAGAATCATCACTCACTATTAACAAAGTTTATACAAATCCCTTATTAAAGTTACAAAACAATGACTTATTTTGTTCTTAGGAACCTAATATCACAAACATAAAGGCTTTAGTAATTTAATACTTTAAATCCACTAAAACAGTTTTAAAGTGTTTGTGGCATGCTGAACATTTTAAATTGTTAAATATGTACACCAACAATCATTTGTCTAAGTTGAGTCAGATAATTTCATTATGAACAATAAGTTACAGTGTTTATGAGTGTTGCAAACACCCTTACATTTAGTCATTTACCCTTAAAACCTGAAATTAATCTGACAACTGCATACTTTCAAAATAACAAACTCATGAAACACAGAATTGATTCTCAAATTATAGTTTGAGGGTGAATAGTGGAATATTTAACATTCGATAACTGATTTTGTGACCAGATTCATCACAAGTAATATTAAAAAAAAAACATAATAAGATGTGTTTTACTTCAATTATCTGTGACACCCAAAGTTAAAAGACTGATAAAATAAAGAAACATTTCTGACCATCCATGGGAGAAAAACAAAACAAAGAAAATACACATTATTTGGATTTAATTTGTAATGCTTAAGATTGGATAGGGTTACACACACACACATATATATATATATATTAAATTTAAGTTTAGAAAGTTTTTTCATCAGATACTAATGATGACAGACAAGACATGCTTCATTAAGCTGAAATTTACAAGAAATTCTTTTTTAAATGCTTCTACATTAAAAGATCAAATAGTTCTACTGAGTATTTTCACTGAGTTGGTATCATACTATTCACTTACTACCTTAAGGACCCTTTTAAATACACATAAGTTGGAAAAAATTCCATATTAATGTGTATTAAAAAATACATTTCTTCAAAACTTTCTCTGCAGGTAGTTAATGTCCTTGTGAAGATTTGCATGTACATGTTAAGAAAAAAAATTATTACACATATATTTTGTGTAACCACAAAATTTAAAAACAATATCAGTATAATATGCATCCTTTTATATAGATTTCAGAAAAGTTTACCAATGGCATCAACATCAAATGTTGCTTCTGTAATTCTGTTGTCTAATTCTGCAATTATTTTCCAAAAGCCCAGCACTGGTTCTTGGGGTAGCAGTAATCCTTGGGTAAAAATTCCTGTTCAGAAAATAAAACAAAAAATATTACACTGATTTTCAAATATTTTACTGCCAAACTAAGAAAAAACTACTTGTAGTTTCAGTAACTGTCAAGCACTTTTGCCACTATTTATATGATAGAGAATTTTTTGATAAGGTACAGTAAGCATCCCTAAAATGTCTCCAGAATTTAAAAAACTGTACTTGTAACAGTAGAACTTCATTGTACAACACCAACCAGGCAAGCAATATAAAAATACACACAAACTGTCTCTGGCAGGTAAAAGCTTTCCAGTTTTTCAAAAAAGTAAAGTATCATCTGGGAGAATATACCACCTTACTAATGAGGATTACATGAATGAATGGATACCAAAAATAATGACACAGAAGCTTTGAGAAGAACAATTAAACAACATAGATTTGGCTTTAGCACTACTTGGCATACAGCAAGATAAAGCATGACCATCACACACATTGGTGACTGAGCACAGAAACCCATAACTTTTGGTGGTTGTTTGAAGAACTAGAAGTATAGGAGGGAGTACTATGCTGTCTCTATGACTTGCACAAGCTTGGATCTCAATCTGTGATGCAGCTATTATTCTGATGTCTCTGAAATCTGATATTATCTGAATGTTATAAAATACAAAGATCTGAAGCATAGGGAGTGTCTCACCCTAAAGTCAACCTATGGAGTTGGATACATATAATCTGGCCACATTCCTGCAGAAGTGTAAAGTATAGCTCAAAGTAAGAGTTGTCCAGACCAGAAAAAAACTCTAACAAAGTTCATAGTTTCTGAACTGTATGGAGTAGAATTAGGCACTGCTGAACCAAACAATAGTAATCATTATGTTCTATCAGAAATCAATTAGTCAAAAAAAAAGTGGACCAAAGCTTACACGATGCATGATATTTCAGCTCAAACACTGGCTAAAACATTAGCTGAACAGCAGATAATTTGTTTTGGACATTCATGCTGATCGATAAGCAAAATTTAAACCTTTGGTTGTTTACTGAGTAGTGTAACAATTCTAATCATGGTAAAGTACATCATCTTATTATCGTCAATCTGATGAATAGACTAAATATATTGTTCAAACTGTGAAGTGTATACTATCTTAGTTTGTGAGCTTTAACTGAAATGACTGGGATTGGCATCTGCCATATATAATGAGGACATACCATACAACACAGCAATAGTCTACTGGCTGTTCTCTGAACATGTTACTGTTTCAAAGGAAAGTTATTTTCCCAGTATATTGCATGATTTACCAAGAGTGTCCACAAGATCAAGCGGAGCAGCTGAGATCCACATTAGTAGATACATGAGTTTTCAAGTCATCAATTCAAGCAAGGACTCTGTATATGTGATTCTAGTATAAACTAACAATGTATAAAACCCTAAGTTCTGGTTGAACTGGAGTTTATCTTGTGCTGAAAAGATTCAATCCATCAAACTATGATCATGTGGCATGCAATATTACATAGAACACATTCATAAGCTAAAATTATTTATCACTGATGACACTCTGAAACAATGACTTGACCAAGAAGCAATATAGGTGAGTTGAAGTTGCACACATTAAGAGGGTATTGTGAAAAACTTATCAGTTCCAGCAGAGGAAGTGGAGCCAAAACCTGAATGTCTAATGCACTCCTACATATGGTCATAGTGGGGACATCAAACTGTAAGTCACTATGGTTGGGAATGAAGGATAGAGTATTAAATTTAGGGCAGCTATAAAATCAGTAGCTAAAAGGGAGTTCTGACCTTTGCTTTCCAAACTATTAGGTGAAGTTTCATAGTAAAATATCTACAAGATATTTTGTATTAGCCAAATGATTATAATACCTAGAAGATTGCAGCTAGAGGGCCTAAAAATGCTGTTAATGATAGCTACAATGTTTAGAACATCATTAACACTGTGGAAAATATTATATTTATTAACTTTATTAACATCATTTTAAAGTGTACTCAGGTGTTATACTATGATCATAGTTCTGATTTTACATGAGATGAGGGTCACCTATGGTTGTACTAAGAATGAAAATTAGGGATCGACAAAGAAAGAGCACTAGTAAATATAGTTCACATTTTTTATTTGGTTTATTCACTAATTTGGTTTCTGCTAAAAATTAAATGATAATGATAAAATATTTATATCAAAAGTATACAATTTGCACAGAAAGTAATACTTGTTTAACAGTCTATTACAAAAAAATAACACTGGTCAATAAGATGTATGAGTCTACTTGAGACTTACAGAGGTGCTATGAATAAAAGTATTGTTCTCCTTGAATATATTTAGCCTGATTGCTTTGATTTTGTAATTAATGAAGTACGTGTTTAATTACTTTAGATTTAAATGTTGTACAATATGTAGTGCAGTCTTCAAATGGATGTTGGAAATTATTTATTAATTAACCTTAAAGTACCTTTTCTTGTTGTTACGTTTAACCATTCTGCTATTTTGGTCCCTTCAGGATCTTCCACTTTCACATTCAACTGAAAAAGCAATGACATTTCATTTTTACAATCATCCACTATCCATTCCAATAATTATTCATATTCAAGGTAGTTAAGTTTATTGTGATAGAGATAAAATCATTGATATTAATACACTGTGCTAAAAAACTACAAACTAGACAGGCAAACACAAAATTATGTTGCAAATACATGAGTATTTCAAAACTATTATTCATTATCTAGTTTACATCCATTACAGTATTTAGATATGTTATGCTCATACAGTATATTGACCACAACTGTATATATCATAAACCTTGAACATCTCCTTAATATATGTTTACCAATCAATAGCAATTTAATATTTGAAGAAATAAAGATGAATAACCAGCATTTTGTATTATAAAATTTTCAAAAATGTCAAACAAAAGTGATAGATTATTTCCCCAATATTTTGACTTGCTAAACTGGTTGTGGTTCCATCCATCATACTGTGCATGACAATAGTTAAATATTTCTCTGCATTTGCAATATACACTATTAGTTTAGCTGAATATGTGTAGTTTATAGATATCTTTTTGTGGACATTAAATCCCTTTTAAGGGAAATATATTATTCTGTTTATGAACAATCACAATTTTTCTTTGTTATCTAATAACAAAACCTGAAAAATTTATTAAAGTGAAGTTTTAGTAGGAACAAAATTTGAGTTAATTTATTCTCATAAAACTAGCCTTGAACCTAAACAGAATTCTTTTCAACAAATTTTCTTATTAACAATAATACAATATTTACTTCATGTTGGTAAATGTATAAAATGCACTTTGCTATTACATAAAAACTTTTATATTTTGAAGCACTAAAAAAATTCCTTCCTTTCTAAATATTTCCCACTTAAATCTTGATATTATTTGAAGAAAAGTTACATTTGGTTTACATTTATTCCTAGACCTAAATACTAGCTTCTTAAGAATTTAGTCTAGCTATTATGATAGAAAAAGAAAATCCAAGTTCCAGTACTGACTGTATATGATTGTGGTTCGAACATGATTCAAGAAACAGTATGTACCACAATGCCTTTACTTATATTTTAGTATTTTGCCTCAGATGGAAGAAAATAGGTCTAAGTGTAAAACTAGTGTAAGTTATATATAAATCAGGAAATTACAGCTTCCATCAGCAGAATTACCACAGGGTATATATATATATATGTGTGTGTGTGTGTGTTTATATCCATTAATTTCTTAACAAATAAGTATAAATTTTTTGCCTTCTGTCAATAATGAAACTTATCTAGTTTATGATATGAGATTCAATCAGAATTTATCACATCACTTTAATAGATTACATTATTACACCCAAGTTCCAAACTTCAATTAGCATTTTCAAATTTCAGATATATTTCTGAAAATAACATTGTATTAACAGACAGAAAGTTTTTGTCACAGAATAAAACAGCAAAACCTAACCCTGATGATAATTATTGTAAATAAGTTAAAGGCTTGACATTTCCAAGAAAAACTGATCTAGAGAAGTTTATTAAGTTTCAGAAGATAACCTGCAACTCCTTTTTTTCCCCAACATCACATTTGTGTTGTCAAAAGCTAATGATACACAATTTTCCCACTTTAAGGACTTTGAGGCTAGTTCTTCTTGAAGGAGTCCTGCAGTATTCTCACCATTTGATTTTCCAATTAAATTGTGATTTAGTACCTTTTCCTTGTTGTCATTGAAGTGTGTTACTACAGTTTGCTGTCAACATCATTACTGTCATCAGTGGACAAATTGCAAGCCCTAGTTTTAATGTTATTCACAATTCACTCAGTTGCACTGCTGGCCATATCTCCAACTATTGCAGAGGTTTAGGTTCTGGAGCATCTGTATCTTTTAGCTATTTCCAAATCCAGAAACATTTTGATAAAAAAGTTTTTAAGCATAGTCCGAAACTGCCAAAGAAGGTGAATAAGCATTCCGCACTGATCACATTATTTTCTGATTTGATATCAGATTTTACAAAAAATTATTAATTCCAGATGCCCTCAAAACATTTTGCTGGTGTTTAGTAGTGTTGAGATGTTTTCTGATGTCATTTTCACCTCCATGAGCAATGGAAAAATCACAAACACAAATTGTACATCTTGTATAATTCATACCCTTTGAGGATGATACAATATTATTGAACTTTTTGGGGGGCGAAGCAGAACCATGTTTTTTCTTCTCAAAATGATCAGCGCACCTTAGATGCTTACTACTTACACACTTTTTTAATAAACTATTTGAAGCATTTGTAAGATTGAGATGCAAAACAGAGAGCAGAGAATTATTTCCAGAAAATTATTAGTTGAAAAAGATATTGGTGAAAAAATTCCAAAATTTCACAGAAGATCGTAAAATAACACAACAATTTGTACAGGCTTAAAATGAAAGAAATCAGAACAATTACACCTAAATTGTGAGAGTTGGCAGGTCTGCTAATCTTTTGACATTCTTTAAAGAAATTACTGTTTATGTAAATATGGGTGTGGACTTGGTATATCTGTATTTTCAAAAAGTATTTGACAAGGTGCCACATAAAAGGCTTGTAAAAATATTATTCTTGTGGGTGTGGGGGATAGGTTGACCCATGGGATAGAAAACTGGTTGGATGACAGAAAGCAGAGGGTTGTTATAAATAGAGTTCAATCAAACTGGATTATTGCCACAAGTGGGGTACTTCAGGGTTCAGTGTTAGGACCTTTGCTCTTTTTGACTTACATCAATGACATAGATGAAGGAATGGTCAATCAGTTATTTAAATTTGCTGATAATATTGTGGTTTTAGGTATTACAAGCTGTGAGGAGGATGCAGCTGCTTTACAAAAGTAAAGTATAAGTATAATAAATGCAAAGTAATATATGTGGGATATCATAATTTGAATTATGAGTATAATTTTGATGGCAATAACATTAAGAGTGCTATCAAAGAAAATAATCTTGGTGTTCAAATGAACAGTCTCTTAGGCCATCTAAGCAATGTTGTGTTTCTAGTGGCAGGGCAAATAGGATTTTATATGGTATCTAAAGAAATAATGAATAAAAGTCTACAAAGGTTATGTCAATGTATAGGTATTGGTTGGGCCACATTTGAAGTATTGTGTTCAGTAATGGCTCTTTACTTTAAAAAGGACATTGAACTGTTGGAAATGGTTCAAAGGAGGGCTACCATGTTGATACTTGAGATAGAAAGGTGTCATATGAGGACAGATTAAGATCTTTTAAATTATTTTATCTTGAAAAAAGGAGAGTTAAAGGTGATCTGATTGAGGTGTTTTAGATTGTTATGGAAATTGATAGTATTTAATGTATCATCTTTTTAATACTATATGGTGAGAATATTAAGACTAGGGGATATAAAGTTTAGCAGACTAGAAGTCATCTTCAGTTAAGACAGCTTTATTTTTCTAAGAGGGTGGTTGGCTTCAGATGTGGTGGATGCAATTAGTTTAAGGGAAGGCTTGATAAACATCTGAATGATAAATGCTGGCTTTAAGTGTTTTGTTTTCATTTTTGTTTAGTAGGTGGGATGGCCTAGATGAATCAACAGGTCTCTTATTTTCCTTAAGTTATATGTATTTGTATATCTTACCATGTGACACTTCATAAGCTTTGCCAGACAAAACTTCAATTGTAAACTAATAAAAATCCACCATTTTGCTTGTTACTTATAAAAGTGCTCATCATTTACTATACACTATCTTCTGAGCTGAAACAAACAAATCTAATTATTCAACAAAGTGAATCAAGTTTTATTCCAGCTAATTTTGCCTCCTAACTGAGTCCTGTCTAACACAATCCTCTATCAGGGGCTATGAGACAACATACAAAACTTTTGTTGTTGTGATTTTTAAAATATGCACAGATTTATAAAATATATAACTAACCTAAAGTAACTTAAAAGTAGTGAATTGAAAAAACCTGACATGAGTAACATTAAGTATAAATAAATTCCTAAACTTGTAAATTGTAAAAATTCATAGATGAAACTACCTGTTTTTGGACAGGATACAGATCGACATCAATGCATAAAGCAATAATGTGAACTGAAAAAGACAAAAACTATATATATATATTACAACATAACAGGATTTTTCATAAAACTGAAAAACAAAGAACAATCCAATCAACATTAAGTCATCATAAAATGAAGAAAAAAACCTAAAAGTTCCATATTACCAATCTTAACTGGTTTTAATTAATATAAATTAAAAGGTAGCTTCATTACGAAAATCAAAATAAATATGTATGACGACTACAACTCATTAAATTTGTTATTTGTTTTAGATTTTTTTACTTAAAGCCCTTGATCTACCACATACAAATCAATAAAAATCTTAATGGTACAGAAAAACACTCAGCATGTATCTTGGGTTTCAAAATATTATCATTCACTACTTTATTTATGAAAACCAAATATCCAAAACTTATTTTACAATAAATATTTGTATCATAAAAACTAATGCTGAATTTTTTTCCAAACATACATTTTAAGGCACAGCTCAATAAATCATTTTTATCTCAAGTCTTCACTGATGCTGAATCTTTTTAATATATAATGACAAAGAGATTAAAGAAATATATACGAAAAACTGTTTAAACAGAGATACCTTTTTCACCAGGTGAATATTTTGACTTGTCAGTTTCAATAAAAGTAAGTACTCCTGCAGAAGCAATCTGTACTTCTCTTTTTTCCTTAATCTCAAAATGTGGATTTAATGGGAAGTCAACTTGTACTTGTAGCTCAGCCTGTTTAACTTTAACATTATTAACAGGCAGGCGAGAACAAGAAAGTAACAGACCACCATCTGAGTTGAAAAAATAAAAACAAAAGAAATTAGTTATATAATAAAATTTGACAAATCTCTTGACCTTTTTGTAATAGCACAGCTATTCTAATCATCTTAGTTATTCATATTGTTAGTAGTTTTTGTTGCAATGAAAAAGGAGAGGTAAACTTGGCCTCAACTGTATCTTGTTCAACTTTGTCATTTTTGCATTAAATCTATGCATATTCATACATTTTTATATAGCTTGGTTCTTTTTGTACAATACATTTACAAAGCTTGGCATTTTATGTAACTAGGCTATTTTTCTTTGTAAATATAACATACTTATATAACTGGTCAATTCACTCTAATCTGGCTGTTTTTTTTTAATATAAAGTGTTTTGACTAAATATCACTGCTTTTTAAGTTAAATTAAAATTTTGCACCACACAAGGTTTGATTTTAATTATAATGCATTTACATAAAACTTGTTTTTAGCAAATTATAGACTTATTTCATCAGCTGATCTGGAGGGTGAGAAACATTTATTCGATTTTGCTTCAAGAGTATTGAAATTACTGTGAATTTTATTGTGTATGCTTTAATGTAATCAAAGATATATATATAGATTTCAAGGTATAGCATCATACCTTGTGCTGCCATCTTGTTTTCATTATTGTTACTACAGGGTAAAAAATTAAAAACATATTTCAGCAATGCATTAATAACTTCAGAACATCATAATATTGTCACACCAGTCACACTATAATTTATTTGTACAAAGTGATACGCCCACTTAGTATATAGTCCTTCATGTATCATATGTTTTGCCTTCTCAACAAGAACAGCAACAATATTTTTTCCAGTTTTTAACTGATTATTCCTCTTTAACTGCTCTTTTGTATATGACATTAAAGTGTTTATATCTGGTCAGAAACAACAATTGCGGCACTATACTCTATAGCATTTAGAACACCTATGGCAATACCTCAAATCTGGCTAAAAGTTCGGTCTAGCGCATATATTGATATAGTCACAGTAGTCTTTTTTTTTCCACATTTACTTGTGCTAGTAGTAGAATCATTGTTGTGACTCTTATTAATTAGCAGCTTTAGTTTAGGATGCCAAGGCATGTTGCACTGAAGGCTCGTTTATATGATGGTATTTTGTAATGGTCATGATGGGAATTATTTGTTAAGAGACTTGCGTTGTAGGGTGAGCTACTGTTCCAGGATTTGACCTCTGGTAACAACATATCTCTTAAAATTCTAAAACTGTATGGTTTTTATAATGTTAGTTCTTATATTTGTTTGTTGTTGTTGTTTTAATCATATATTTAAAATAATTCAACGTCTAGTCTACTTTAGGAGGAAAAATCATTTTATATCCTCCTTTACAGACTTGCATGTTTCAACTAGTGGTAGGCCAACGTTTACAAGTAACACTAAACTTCTCTAACAACAATAGGACTAACGTACGTTCATTTTAATTTCTTGAATAAAGTCGGTAACTCCCTCTTATCTGAACTTCCGTAAGAGTTCAACAGAACATCACCATTATAACCTACCATTTATCTACCTTCGAAAGTAATACATAAAACTTGACGTCATATTAGAGCTTTTTAGTACTTCGCCCTCTAGGAAACAAATAAATTACATAAAAAATATATAGCTTACAACAGTATGTAAAACAACAAGTCTAAGTGTAATACTGATTTGACAACATAATTTGGTACAAAAACTTAATTTACATTTCTTTACAAACTTTCAGCAAGCATCACATAATATTTTGTTCACTTTGCCATTCATTTAACATATAATATATAACAGAACATGCTATATTACACTAACATGTTCACATATGGTACAGGATGTGTAATATATTTAAAAATAATGAATAAATAGAATTTTCTGAGAAGTAAACTTAAGAGCATCACTGATATTTAAGATTTACCCAGACAACCTCTAATACAATATACATTTAGTACAAATGAAAATAACACGAACATTTATTGTAATAATTTTAAATTTATAGCACATTCAATAATATTAACAATGAAATGATAGGTCAGTTTTATACCTGGAGTAATTACGTCAGAAGTCTCTGCAAGAACGGTGCCTGAAGGTATTTCATGAAGTGACACTTTCAAATTGCCACTTCCTGGTGGATCAAACACAATTAAGCAAACTTCAGGCTTAACACCATGAAGAATCTTGGGTGTTGTAATTACATAACCACGTCGTCTAAAAGTAAAAGAATTAATAAAATTAAGATATTCGATCATAGTCTATACAAAAAAATTAATTATTACACACACCTAATACTACTTTACCTTGCATTTTTGCAACATATACTGATGAGCTAACTTAATAACTAGCAAAATGGCTATATAAATAAAATATAACTACATATTATCCTAAAGTTATAAAGTATAAAAATAATGTTGGCAAAATCATAATTTTAATCCCTACAGTTTGGTGTAATTCGAAAACACATAAGCTACATTAGTAAGAGATTACTAAAAGTGATTAGATTTTCTTCTAAGCTCTACGTACCTTTGTAGCTATACTTATACTATAAGTTATAGTATAATCGTTAAGATAAACTAACTTGAAGTGTGATAGTTCTAAATATAGAATACTTAATACATGGATATCGATATGTACACAGCGTGGTCACAAGTAAATAGACACCACCTTTTCAGAAGAAATGAAATTTTTCAGTCATATTCACATGAATTGATATATTTATAATTTAATTAATATCTAGTAGATCTTCCTTTCACTTCGTGGAGTTCGTTGATCCTTTGAGGCATCGTGAGAATTATTTCGTCAATTTTAGATTGTGGGATTTTCGCCCACTATTGCTTCAAAACTTGGAGTAGATTGCTCTTCGAAGTTGTTGTTTTTTGACTTGCCGGTCAAGTATGGTCCAGAGGTTTTCGATGGGGTTCATGTCAGGAGATTGGCTCGGCCAGGGCAACTTCTGGATACTATTTTCTTCCTGCCACTTTTGGGTGTTTCTAGCAGTGTGACACGGTGCTCCATCTTCCTGAAACAACGTTGTGTTCTTGTCCACGAAACCCC